TTTTTTTTTTTTTTAATTTGGTACTGGGGATTGAACTCGGGGCATTCAACCACTGAGCCACATCCCCAGCCCTTTTTTGTATTTTATTTAGAGACAGGGTCTCACTGAGTTGCTTAGCACCTCTCTTTTGCTGAGGCTGGCTTTGAACTCACAATTCGCCTGCCTCAGCCTCCTAAACCACTGGAATTACAGGCATGCGCCACTGTGCCTGGCTAAGATTGTTCTTTCTTGTCATGGCTATTTACAGACCATTTTCTCCTTTTAAATATTCTAGCTTTTTCACTGGGGGCAGTGGCACATGCCTGTAATCCCATTGACTTGGGAGGCTGAGGCAGGAGGATTGAAATTTTGAGGCCAGCCTCAGCAATTTAGTAAGACCCTGACTCAAAATGAAAAATAAAAAGATCTGGGAATATGGCTTAGTGGTAAAGTACCCCTGTGTTCCATCCCCAGTACCAAAGGAAGAAAAAAAGTTTTAGCTTTATCATGTCATTTTGTCAGAATGATCTTTCTTGATCACAGGTCTTAAATAGTCACTGACCTTCATCCCTTTACTCAAACACACATCGTAGTTTCTTTTTATTTTGAGGCAGGGTCTTGCTAAGTTGCATATTGCCTTGCTAAGTTACTTGTTTTCATTTGTATGTTTATCTCAAATTTGAATGTTAGTATCACATAACCAAGAACTTTGTATTATTTACCACCAAAACCTAAGTTTTCAAGTTGTACTTTAAGCATTTATCTATTATTTGCTATATAAATTAAGTAATCCACTTATATCATTTTCATCTGTATTAATGTGTGTTGAGGACATGTACCCCAAAGGTAGTTTTTGATAGAATAAATTGTTACAAGGAGTAATGCCTCAGCCAACTTCACTGTTTGTAGTAGAGCTGTTGACCAGTGCAGAGACAAGAGCACAAATGCAGAAACAGATTGAAGAGATGGAGAAAAAGCTAAAAGAAATCCAAACTACTCAGCAAGAAAGAGCATGTGATCAGGTAATATCCTTTTTTTAAAAAAAAAAAAAAATTTATTATGTATGTATTTTTGGTTTTAGGTGGACATATTATTTTCGTTTTTATGTGGTGCTAAGGATCTAACCCAGTGCCTCATGCATGCTAGTGAGCACTCAACCACTGAGCCTCAGCCCCAGCCCTCTTTTTTTTTTTTTTAATACTTTTTAGCTGTTGATGTACTTTTATTTTTTATTTATTTATATGTGATTCTGAGGATTGAACCCAGTACTTCACAGATACTGGGCAAGTGCTCTGCCACTGAGCCACAACTCCACCCCCACCACCTTTTTTTTTTTTTTTTAAATATTTATTTTTTAGTTGTAGTTGAAAACAATACCTTTATTTTATTATTTTTATGTGGTGCTGAGGATCGAACCCAGGGCCTTGCACATGCTAGGCAAGCACTCTATTGCTGAGCTACAACCCCAGCACAATATCCTTTTTTTAAATACACAAAACTAATGCTTTTTGAAATAAATTTAGCCTTTTTTCCCCAAAAGTGCTAGGGATTAGACCCAGACCCTAGGACATGCTAGACAAAGTGCTCTACCACCAAGCTACATGTTTATCCTGAAATAATCTAAACAGTACAGAAGTGCAGAAGGTTTCTAAGTTTTCCCTACTGCCCCTCAGTTTTTGGTGGTTTCTTAGTGATTAGTAGCAGCAAAGTTGAGCAGGAAAGTAATTAAACCAGGTGATTTCAAATGGGATTTATGACATATGAAATAAGTGATGTGACTTATTTGTTATATGATAAACAAATTATTTCATTAATTTTGATTTTTAGCTTTTTATTCCAGTTATGTTCCATTAGGATGGGGTTAACAAATTTAGTGTATTCTTGGAATTGGTCAATTGAGTACAACAATACAAATTTATACTAAAAACATGAATTATTGGAAAGAACTTTTGTGATACATACTTTTCATATGGTTAGTGGATATCTAGGGTAAGAGTATGTAATGTTGGACTAGAGCTTGAGAAAATATATCATTTTCTGGTTGAGAGAATTACTTATTTTGTTTATTTTAATACAAATAGCAAGAAGAGAAGATAACTACAAAGAAGGAAGCTGAATTGAAAATTGCTTCCCGGTTTCAGGAAATACCCAGAATGGCTCTATGCAGTTCTGTTTGTCCTCGAAACTCTTGTCCTAGGTAAGACCATATTGGTAAAAGGGATAGTGCTTATAGAAGAGCTTTTTAAAATTTTTTTTTTTCTTTTTTCCTTTTTTTTGTGAACCCAGGCCTCACACATGCTAAGCAAAGACTCTACAACTGAGCTACACATCTAATCCTTAAGGGAGGATTGGAACCAACCTTTGACATTCTCTAGTGACTTTAAGTCTCCTTAACTAATAGCTTTGTATCATGATGTATCTAAGTTTCTGTCTCAGCATAAGCTATGACACTGAGGGATGATTGGTACTAACTTGTTTCCATAAAAAATACATTTTTCTTATAGAAACAAATAATTATTTTTTAATCACTCTTTTCAACCAACAAGAGAATTATTGCTAACACTAGTATGTCTCTCTTCTTGTGCTTTATTTTTGTGTTTGTTTTATAAAAATCATAGCTTACCAATTGTGATCTGCTTAACTATTAGTTTAATTTAACACCTATAATCAAGTGTATTTCCATAACATTTCTAATGACTTCTTCAAGAGAATTGGGATTGAGAGTGGCAGAAGTAATTTTTTTATCTTATAGTGACGAGGATTATAGACAATTAAAAAATTAAATAATTCTTACTGTGGGTACTGAACACTTTTTAAAACAAATTTTTTTCATAGGGAAACTTCACTTGCAGAAAGCATTTGTCAAGAACAACTTCACTCTAAAGGTGAGTTATATTTGACAGCCTCATGAAGATGTTGTTGATACCAAATGGATTATATAACAAATGGTAAATATTTTCTTAATTATGGTAAAGGGGTTGAAAGAAGACAGAGGGGGAATAGAGAGAGTATTGTTGTATTTTTGAATTATGGAATTTGGTTTAAATATAATTTCAAATTTATATTAGTACAAAATAATATAAGTTTCCACTGAAGTTACATTCAGTAACTTATCAGTAGTATCCAGCAGCCAAGACTAAGGACAGTGTCTTTTTGAAGGAAAAAAAGTTTGACTATTTTATGTCTTGGACTTTTTCTATTTAAATATGTTAAATGTGGTAGCAACATGAATATTCATTTGCGAGTAGTTTTATAAAAAATAAACCAAATCTAATTGAACTTTTAATTCTAACAACCAATTTATAGGAAATACAAAGCATAGAGGAACATGTTAAACAACAGAGGGAGATATAATTTGCAAAAATCCAGCATTATGTGGCAAACAAGCCAATTTCTTCAACTAAAAAGTATCTGAAGAGCCCTATACAATAAAAGAGGCATTAGTCACAGTATATGAATCTTACTCTGCATTCTCAATTCAAACCCACTTTAAAAATTTTTTTAAAGATAATGGGTAAAATGTAGAACTTCTAAATAGATACTGTATATTCAAAAATTATTATATAGTTAGCACACCTTAAGATTTGGCATTTGAAAAGAGCCTTTTTTAGAAAAACCATATTGAAATGATATTATGTCTTGGATTTGCTTCAAAATCATCCTGTTAGGGTAGGTTTTAGAGGAGTAGTAGCATTGGTTAGGGAAATAGGTGAATCAAGATCATCTGTATTTTGATAATAAATTATTAAATGATCTTTACTTTTATGTGTTTGAAGCTTAACAACACAAAATATTAATTCCTCTAGTTGCCTTGAAGAGTAAAGCATATACTCCTAAGAGTATATATCTAGTCTCTTTTTTTCTATAGGTCCCAGTATACCTTTCTCCATTTTTGACGAATCTCTTCTTTCAGAAAAAAAGAATGAAAGGTTTGTTGCTTTTTGTTGTTGTTTTTAACTTAAACTTTCTGTTATTATAAATGAGAATAAATTAGTGGTTACTGTTGTCTGTAAATAAACAAAAAAATTTCTAAATGCAGTATGTCTTTTTCCAGTTCTCCTGAAGAGCTCCCAAAGGGCTTAGCCCAACGAAGACCCCTTGCAGTACTGAAAACTACAGAAAGCATCACCTTAAATGAGGATGTCTCTCCAGATGTTTGTGTAAGAAATATCCTTAATATAAATGGACCCAGTGTACTGTTTTCATTTAAAACTTCCAAAAGTTTAGGTTAAAATTAAAATCACCAGCTTGAACAAAGTACATGAAAAGATGCTCAGCATCATTAGTCACCAGGAAAATGCACATCAGAAACACAATGATTAAACACTCACTAAGATGGCTATAATAAAAACGACAGATAATAACAAGTGTCCTGGATCGAGGATATACAGAAATCAGAACTTTCATGTTGTTGTTGGGAATGTAAAATAGCAGTTACTTTGGAAAACTGGCAGTTTCTTGAAATATTAGACATAGAGTTAACCTAGCAACTCCCCTCCTAAATATATACCCATGAGAATAAAAAATATGTTGACACAGAAAGCTTGTACACAAATGTTCATAGAAACATTATTCATGATAGTGGGAACAACCCAAATGTCCATCAAAGGATAAGCAAAATACCATATGCAGTGAAATACTATTTGCTAATGAAAGGTAATGGTGTACTGATACATGTCACAACAAGATGAACCTTGAAAACATGGTTGGTGAATGCCTGTAATCCCAGAGGCTCAGGAGCCTGAGGCAGGAGGATCACAGGTTTGAAGCCAGCCTCAGCAATTTAATGAGGCTTTGAGCAATCTAGTGAGACCCTGTTTCTAAATACAAAAATAAAAAGGTCTGGGGATGTGGCTCAGTGGTTAAGCACCCTTGGGTTCAATTACCAGTTATCAAACCAAACAAAAAACATAAGCTAAAGGAAGTCGGGCACAAAGAAAACCACATATTATATACGTTTGCATTTACATGAAATATCCAGAATAGGTAAAAGTATATTGGGGATTTTTAGGGAATTAGAGAAAGAGGGGACTGTGACTGTTAATAGATACGGGGTTTCTTTTTGAGGGATGAAAATGTTCTGGAGTTAAGTGGTGGTAATGGTTATACAACCTGTCAATGTACTAAAAACCGTTGCAATATATACTATAAAAGGGTGAATTTTCTGGATGTAAATCATATCTTAAATTTTTAAAGTGGGGAAAACATTGATTTGAGAGCAGTTTTACACTTTTAATTTTTTTTTAGCCAACATGGCAAAGGTTGTTTCTTCTTTTTTTATATATATAAAATGAGCTGGGCACTGTGGCACCTGCCTATAATCTCAGCAATTTAGGAAGCTGAGGCAAGAGTATTTCAAGTTCAGGGGCAACCTCGGCAACAGCAAAACCCTGTCTCAAAAAGGAGTCATGATGTAGCTCAGTGGTAAAGCACCTCTGGGTTCAATCCCCAGTACCAAAAATAAAGTATAATAAAATGCCTTTTATGGCAATGGAAAAGTTATGTAGACCAGCCATTTTACTTTTGTAATGTTCTATTTTAATCACTATGGGCTTATGACATGATAATACTTGGGGTAAAATGACCCTGTAAGGGATTGGGGTTGTGGCTCAGGGTAGAGCACTTGCTTAGCATGTGTGAAACACTTGGTTGATCCTCAGCACCACATAAAAATAAATAAAGGTATTGTGTCCACCTACAACTAAGAATAAAAGACCCTGTAAGTCAAAGTAAATAACTGTTATCATTGGCATTTCACCAATATTTTAAGGAAGAAAACTAATCCTTTTCAAACCAGCATCTGGAAACTTGTTATAAGCTTGAAGAGAATTGAATGTGTTTAATCTGAAGACTTTTACAGGGAGATGTTATCAGTAGCTTTAGTGATTTAAAGCAGTATATTCTCTACATCCAAGGGAATGGAACATTTGGAAAAAAATTTTAAGCATGATTGAGGTATATTTTATACTCAGTAAAAGTGCATAAATATTAATTGCCCAGCTAGATGAATTTTTATATATGTGAATATCTATGCCGTTTTATACCTAAGATGTAGAATATTTCCAGCAATACAGAAAAAGCTAGGGAGATTTTTATGGCAAAACATATTCAGGCTCCATTTTAGTTATATGGAACTGGAATTTCCAGGAAAGAAGTCTAAGCATGTATATGTCACTGTTTTAAATACTTTCCCAAATAGTTCTAATAGTTAGTTCCTTGCCTGCTGTGAAAAAGACCATGATGCAAAAAATATATACTGTGTCCTGGAGAATACCACTGGAGATAATGAAGCTGGATTTAGATTCAGTGGATCTAGAATTAGTTGTTCAGGATAGACTGAATTATTAAAGGAGTCTAATAGTCTTCATCTTGCTTTTTTGTCTTATAATGTTGTACTTGAATTTTATTAATAGGTACCTACCATAAGTTTTATCCCTTAAAACAGTCATATTTAAAATGTCTAAACTAATAGGATCATAAGTAGTATTTGCATAAAATGTGTACTTGGACTATAGACATCAGTTTTATCTTATTTCTTAAGCTACATTTATTCAGGATGTATCTTTTACTTATTTAATTTATTTAACTTAAAGTCAAAAATTCAAAGAATATGTCAAAGTGGTAATGATGTAAAAACTAATATCTAATATCCACAGGGGTTAATACAAAGAAAAGGTACTTTTTGTATACTACAGGTAAATATATAAAGTGGTATGATCCCTTTTAGGACAGCTAAACAATATATATAAAGAACCTTAAGTGTTTATAACCTTTTGTCCTAATAATTCTTTTAGGAATCAATCCTAGGAATATTAAAATGTTCAAAAAGATTTATGTATAGGCATATTTGAAAATAGTTTTTTTACTGGTTGAAAATAGAGAATAACTTGAAGGCCTCAGTTAATTTCTAATAATCCTATAATGTGACCATCATGTTTTTAAAGAATTTTTAATAGCTTAGAAAAAATGCGAATAGTATAAGATGGAACAATGCATAATAGCATATATACTGTAATCTTTTTTACAACTTCTTTCATAGATACAAAGAATATGCTTCTGCATATATACTACCAGATTTGTTTGGTAATAGTGGCTGCCTTTGGGGGAGTAGGAATAGGGGTTGGATAGGTGATT